CGAGTACGAGTACGTATTGCTATAGTACTGCCGTAGCCCTAGTACTATAGTACCGTCGTAGCTCTAGTAGTACTGTTGTAGCCCTTTGCTCTTTCCTCCTGCGACGAAGCACTACGAGTGCGTGTACATGCGTATGTATTACGAGAGCCCAGACCCTCTCATTGTTGTGTTAGTGATTACACCATTGGTTAACGCATGTTCACGTGTTAACAAATAGCTATAGTGACGGTGGCTCCTGCTACCGAACTGCCGTATATAAGCGCTGCACGTGTGGCAGTCGCTCTCTTTCCATCGTGTACGCAAGCCACACTGACGTGTGAATAAACAGCTCCTAAGTTACTCACAATCTTATACGTTTCTATAACGCAACAGGTAACTCAAGCAAAGCCTCCTGCAGGAGGATCTGCTATGTATCACGTCCTTTGAAAACGACAGAGAACACTGTATACGTCATGTTTGACTTGCTCTCCTATACTCCAGTAGCGAGCATGGCAAGTACACAATTCTTACTCCTTTGATGCTTTCGATGACTCAGCCGTCGTCGCGTCGTGTTACCGTTTCCCTCATCGCAATATAAGGATCATCACCCGGCGTGACGTCGTTGCGAATTATTCCGATTTACATTGTTTGGCTTTAAACTTTATCATCTCATTCTTCAATTCTTTGAGCAGCGCTCTTTCGGAGTATAATTGAATAGCAGCGCCCTGGAAAAAATCAAATCATGGAGATGTTATCACTGTGGAGGGGAGGAGGGGAGCGGCGGGGAGGGAAAGGATTGGGAGGAGGGTTAAGCCATTCGCACACGCTGTTCAATCTTCCACACGTGGAAGAAAATATCAAACACGTGTGATATTTTCCACACGACGCAGATCGAGGGATTTCGCATGCGCACACGCAGTGGAACTTACTGCGCCATCATCCACGTGTCCACGGGTGTACGATGGCGCAGCAAGTTCCACAGCGTGTGTGGCGGGCTGCCCTTATTGTCATCGGAGTTAGTACTTAGTGTTTAACTTGCAGTTAATTAGCGCAACAATGACTCGGATCATGTGATCCTTTCTCTTTAACACCCGCCACACACGCTGTGGAACTTGCTGCGCCATCGTACATCCGTGGACACGTGGATGATGGCGCAGTAAGTTCCACTGCGTGTGCGCATGCAAAATCCTTCGGTCTGCGTCGTGTAGAAAATATCAAACACGTGTTTGATATTTTCTTCCACGTGTGGAAGATTGAATAGCGTGCGCGAGTGGCTGGGTAAAGCTCGCATAGAGGCATGTCCAAGAACTGATCGATCAAACGTCGTGTGAACGCTCTCTTCAACGACGCTCCGTGTCCAAGCGAACAATCAAGAACAATGCGAATTGAGTGTGGAAATTTACACAAGTTTAGGTCGCTGTATGTTGATGCTTAGCATAAATCGTTAACAATAAGGTGCAATTGTCAGAGAAGGCAGCACGTGTTGGAAGGCATGGGAAGAGGACCGTAGCAGGGCGGAGGAAAGAGACAGGACAAGATAAAGGAAGAGGAGGCAGAGACAGAGAAGGCGACCGGAGGTTAGAAGAGAGGAAGACAGCGGGGACGGCAGTAAAGGAAGTGCAGGAGGTGAAGGAATCAGAACAGGGGAAGTAGAAAGGAATGGATGAGTGAGAAACGGGGAAGAAGGCGAGAAGGAATATTAGAGAAGGTGAAGGAGTGTAGAAATTCGAGGGCGAGGATTGAACGACAAAGAAGTAGTTGGAGAAGGATGAGGAAGAGAAGGCAGAGGAGGAGAAATAAGAGGAAGACTCAGTGGAGCAGAGAAAAGGGAAGAGGCAGCGACAGCGCCAATGAATACAAAAGAAATCTGAAGATGAGAAGGAGAAGGAAGCAGAGAAAGGAGGCGAAGATGCGAAGAAGAGAAGGAGGGGAACTACGAAGCGTGCTCCTAACAGGCTAACACATGTGACACGTACAAAGAGATCGTGCATCAGGTAGCCAGCGGTGCGAGACTGCAGGCCGACGGTAGCGATGGCGCTGCGAACATAGGTCTCCGCCGTCGGACAGCCCGCACTCACATCCCTCTGTGACGTCATGTTGGTTGACACGAATCCCGGCGTCACCAACTGCGAAGATCGAAACGACAATGTGATTATTATGGTAGTTGATACGGTAATTAATGTAGATAACAATAGGGTATGTATCATTAATGCGTGTAGTTAACCACAGGCACTTGGACCGTTTCAATAATAAAATGATGGTTAATAAATACAACTTGTCAGTACTACTACTAGCCCTACCAGTAGCAGTACCAGTAATAGTGTTAATGTTTGATTTGACCTAATAACTTCACTTCAACACCGTCCAATACACCGCTGCAACACATAGCCCGCACGCTCTTGTGCATGCACAAATACACAGTGATAATAAGTGTCACTTATTATCACTGTGTATATTTGTGCATGCACAAGGGCGTGCGTGCTATGTGTTGCAGCGGTGTATTGGACGGTGTTGAAGTGAAGTTAGTAGGTCAAATCAAACATTAAGACTATTACTGGTACTGCTACTGGTAGGGCTAGTAGTAGTACTGACAAGTTGTATTTATTAACCATCATTTTATTATTGAAACGGTCCAAGTGTCTGTGTAGTTAACGAAAGAAAAGTCGGCTCCGCTTGTGACGCAGCGGCGAGGTCGGGCTCGAGTAATGATCCGCTCACGCCCTCTCTTGGCAGCGAATCAAAATACTCACCTGGAACTGGATGCCCTTCTCTTTGTATTCCTGTTTCAGTATTCGCGAGAAAAAACACACGAACACCTTTGTGGCGCTATATGTCGCCACAAACGGGTGGGGGACAACGCCGGCCAGGGAAGCGATGTTGATGACGAGGCCTCGCTTGCGCTCAACCATCTGTCAAAAGAGAGTAAACGAATCGTGCCAGTCTACGCGAGCATTTCCCACGAGAGGCACGCTCGCAGCGGCAACAGTGCACTCAGATCACGCGCACGCACGCGCACGCACGCACGTACGCACGCACACACACACACACACATGGCATACACACGCTTGATTACTTTTATCATACATGTATTGATCCTGTTATTGACTATGGATACAAATGGATTACAGCTAGAAACCAATGCTGTAATCCAGCCGAGTGTGGCACTGGTGCACGAAGGGCCGTTGTATAATGGCGTATAATATCTGATAATATGTACCCGAGGTAACTATTTGATATCGTTAGGGTTTGGGTTAGGGTGTTAGGGTTAGGGTTAGGGTTAGTATTAGGGTCAGGGTTAGGGTTAGGAAGTAGGCGTAGGCGACATACTCGCCGACATCTCGGGTACTATACTCGGTACATATACGACAACGACCCCTTCAGCGGCACTGGTAGGCCTACGGGGCCCAAGGATATGAGATGAAACTTAATTTCAACGAACAATAACTCAAGAGCATCAAAAATAATAAGTAAATAAATAAACTAACTGGTATGCAACATCACAATTTAAACGTACACAAGATCAACAAATGTTGAATGTTATGAAGAGGTATGACATATATAATTAATTGCACATAAAAACCCAAAGAACAAAGTGATCATATGATCTAATTCTTTAAACAATAAACTTAACTAACTAGATACAAGTGGCATTAAGATCTAGGTGACTAAGTCATTTCCATTGCTGTCCTCATCATGAAAAACATGGTTTATGACAATCATTCATTCACATTCTGGCATTGACATCTCGACTTCGAAGAGCATCAGCAATCATGAAAATGTGGTTGCCGTAGACGCTAGAAGCTTCGTCGCAAAAATTTACAACATCCTGTCGCCACCTGTCGGAGCTATATAACGTTATTGTAGTGCGTGATGATATTATGCCAACAGATATATGCGTGTGATGTAAATGCTGACGCGCTATCAACGCCAGTAGCGAAATGGAAAGCCAGCAGCTAGCGTAGATAAATGTTCCCCTCTCTCCCCTCCCCCCGTTATCCAAGCCCTCCTCTCCTCTACCCTCTCTTCCATTCTCCTTTCACCACCTCACATCTCTACCTCTGTCTTCCATTCTCCTCCCATTCCCCTTCCATCCTCGTTCCTGTCCTCCCCTCCCCCACCCTCACCTTTCTGATCACTGCGGCAGAACGATGTACGTTCATTAGCAACGAGGACATCTGTTCACGTGTGAGCATGCGCAAGATGCAATCTCTCTTCCACGTCAGGGAATTCGTCAATATAGAGGTAGCACTGCGACGTTGTTTCACCGACGCACGCCGATCTCTAGTCCCGCCCATACTCTCGCTCGACGTCATCGTTAGATCTCCCGTTCCGCCGCTGTGTCGCCGACGCGTCTCCCTGCACGTTGCTGCGCATGCCACCTCGCTGCTTGGCGCCTTCAGCTTCTCGTGCGAGGCGACCGATGAGCCTACGATGTTAAGGCCTTGCTCGGCCAACTGTAGAGCGTACTGCTTTGCCTATACCGTCCGTCGCCCCTGCAGAGAACCCCGGCAGAGATGTAGAGGGGTAGGCGGGGTTGAGGCAAGGGTGGGGTAGGGAGGGCCAGGTTCAGAAGAGGATGGGGTAGAGGGAGGTGTGAGGGCGTTGGGTAGAGAAGGGGTATAGGGGGGGTCAGGGGCATGGGTCTATGATGTGTGAGTGGAGAGGGCGGGGGTATGGAGGTGGTATAGGGGAGGGTGGGGTTAGGGTAATGGTTAAGGAGAGCGGGGTACAAAGGTCGTCAGTAGAAGCTGCTTCGACAAACATAGTAGAGACATGACCAGGAAAAAAGGACTAGTAATACATAGCGAAAATAGACAACAATAAACGTTATCTGCCAATTTTACGTATTTGTAAGAGTTCGTGGTTTGGCATATACGTCGATTAAAACGAGTCTTAAAGCAGACTATCAAACACACCTGAATGTGCTCACGTACACACACGCGCGCACGCACACACATACGCACGCACGCACGCACGTACACGCACGCACACGCACGCACGCACGCACGCACACACATCGTCGCGCCACCACGCACCCCTTACCGGTCACCACTGCCCAGCTTCCCATCTTGGACAGATCGGCGTACAGATGGAGTGGACGTGAAGAGCGTAAACTTCACGAGGCGGCAGACGAAGCAGAACAGGAGAGAGCGACGGTACGCCGAGCAGAACGACGCGACGACGGCGAAGACGTACGTATCACAACGGCAGACGCGCGCGCAGCAAGCAGCAGCAGCAGCAGCAGGAGCCGTATCCATGGTTACAGCAGACGATAGCGCCAAGATGCCTGCATGGACAAGATATTTAATACAAAAAGCATTATATAAGCTAATAATATTAAGCAATATAATTATATAATATTATCAAAAATCCGTAATAGAAAATATCATATATACATATATATATTGAATTCATGTTTGAATGTTTCACTCATTTGGTAACATAACTTGATAACATCGGTAGCTCACACGTTCTGCCGTTAGATATTTCACTAAGAAATGGACGACAGAAGTAACGCTAACTTCCTCTTTACCTTGATAGCCAATGATATGAGAGCTTGGTTATTGATCTGGATGTGTATGATGGAGATGATCGGATGTTAAGTGGGCACGATACAAAAGGAGTAAATGTTAAAGCAACATATAGTACATGAATCCAATTCTCATGTTGCTCCTGATATGTTCACAACAGGCATGAAAGTTCAGGCCATAGTCCATGTAGACATAATAGATTATGGGGTCTTGATGTTATCATTTCCCAGTTTGATTGCAACACTACATTGTAAGAGTATAACATGTGAACAGTGGAATAAAAATAATAAATCAAAACATAATTATATATATATATTATATATTATATATTATTATATATATATATATATATATATATAACAGCGCGTACGTAATGTTTTATGAAGCGCCCTGCGAAGAAGAGAACGGCGACGAGGGAGAGCCCGTGTGAGAGAGACAGAAATAGAAAGGAAGAAACCGAATGAAAAAGAGAGCGCGCGAGCGACAGAGTCAGAGAGAGCGACAGAAATAGAAAAAGAGCGAGAAATAGATAAATAGATAGATAGATAGCGGGAGAGAGAGGGAGAGTAAGAAAGAAAGAAAGAAAGAGAGAGAAGACAATACAGAAAACAGACGGACAGACACACAACACGAGAGAGAGGAAAGACAAATAGACAGACAGACACAACACGCACGTGCAGACGGAGAGAGAGGAGAGAGAACGAGAGGAGAGAGGAGAGATAGAGGAGCGAAAAGAAGAGCGGAGAGATGAGGGAGAGAGAGACGACGGGTCAACGGAAACTGCGTCCCGAGCCGAGAATAAGGAGACAGAGAGAGAGACTAGACGAGACGCTAGACAAAACAGAGAGACGACCTGCAACTCGAGAGACCGAATCCTGAGCAGAGCGGCCACGACTCGAGACCGTGAGCAGAGAGACGAGAGAAAAGAGAGAGCGAGATTATATATATATAATATAGAGAGAGAGAGAGAGAGAGAGAGAGAGCAACGTACCACGCGTAAGATCCTCGCCTTCCCCGGTCTCTTCTTCTCTTTCGTCAGAGCTGCTTGTGGGTAGTTGCGGTCGTCCGCTCAGGGGGGCGGGAGGGTGCACAGATCATCAGACCCCGACGCAGCCAATCAGACAGCAAGGCCACGCCTCAATATTTCTTTAAATATTCACGTCATCGGGAGCTCAGTAATAACCAGTACAGACTACTAAATTTAATCCCCGAACATCAGGCGCGCTAAATCGCAGCGTACAGACAAAAAATTCTCAAGCGTACTAACGTCACTCAGCAGACAGCTATACTGTACTTTTATGTGACCCGAGTAATGCTGTGCATGCGTATCGCGAAATTTGTTGATAGTTTGATTTGTTGCGATAGTTTGACGCGGTATCAAATTTGCAGTCTGTACTGTTAGTCCAGGAGCACGAACCTTGACATTTTCGTTTCGTTCAACAGTCACTACATCTAAGGTTTGACTTGACAGGATGGTCGAATAGACCCCCTAGAACACTCCCAGGTAGTATGTAGTCTCAAATTGTGGTATCAGTTTTGTGCTAGAAGCCATTTTTATAGACAATGGTAGGTGACGCGACACCGTTAAAAAATGTGGGGTATAAATAACATAACAACTCATATCTTTGCTAATAATCAACCAATTTTAATGATTTTGGTACCAATGGGTCCGTCTTAGAAATTGCTACCATAAAAAAATGTTAACCCATTTAAGAGGTCACTACAGGCCACTACAGGTCAAAAGGTTACGTGACGGGCATTTTTCCTTAAACTGCAGTAACGATTGCCAAATATTAATAAAATGTTACTACGTGAGTTTGCTTATGTTTATTTTACACTAGGGTGACCATATAAGGAGTCCAGTAAATATAAACTTTTCATCTTGAAGGGCTAACCCATGGCAGCGAATGGAATAGTGAATGAAATAGTGACAATTTTACGTCTGCTATATGAAATGTTATAGTTATGTTATGCAATTCACCCTGGCAGTCAGCGAGACGAATGTGAAGATAGTCTTTGGTGCATGCGCATTTCTTGGAGTGAATGCCTATGTGCTACTGACCTGACAGATGAAATCTCACAAGTTTACAGGAATAAGTTTGATCTGAAGTGAGGCAACATATGTCTAGATATATTAGCCTGTGTCTGTATGACATTACGACGTTATGGCAGTGCATGTTGGACACATGCAATGCTGATTGTGACCTGTCAGCTATAACCACTGTCATTACTTCATCTGGTAAACGGCTAGTCATGAAACGATTATGTCATCATATATCACCTGAAACTGCAGTTGTTTTAGGGCTGAAGATGTACTAATGTGGTTGTTTATGGGTTTTAGATTTACATGAAGCAGTTATAGTGTATGATTTTTGTCG